ACACCCTCAACTGTCCCACCTGCCCACAGGCATGCAAATCATCTTGTGACAGACGTGCAAAGGAACACCCTCAACTGTCCCACCTGCCCACAGGCATGCAAATCATCTTGTGACACCCCTTGACACTCTCCAGTCCTCTCCACCTCTGCATCTTGAGAACCCCAATCCCAAGTTGCTTTCCCCCCCCCAGCCACTTACATCCGTACGCATACAAAGCAGCCTCCCTCACCAGTCCCTGTTTGCCCATATTCATGCAAATCATCCTTTGACACCCCTTGACATTATTTAGCCCACCCCATATGTGCATCTTGTGAACCCCCTCAAAAACTACCTTGCACACCCAACTCTTTCCGCCATTCACAGTAAAGCGTGAAAGCATGAAGGCATGTCAAGCATGAGAAGTGCCCTTTCCCATGTACAAGCTAACGGCCGATGGCCATGGCTAACCGTGGCTAACGAGCGTGAGCAAACACGTTTTCAACTCTCTCTCTCTCTCTCTCTCTCTCTCTCTCTCTCTCTCTCTCTCTCTCTGTGTGTGTGTGTGTGTGTGTGTGTGTGTGAAAGTGTGTGTGAAAGTGTGTGAAAGTGTGTGAAAGTGTGTGTGTTGTCATATTCACTATATAGTATACACTCAAAAAAAGCATGACTGTACCAGACTGTTTCGTCGGACTTTCACCGACTCATCAGGAGGTTGAACCCCGACAGTCTGCCCAGGATGCATTTGACTAATGGATAAGGACTCGCTACATCGCCCAGAGTTAAGATACCCCTGAGAAAAGTGGTCGACTTTACTCACACCAACCTTGCAATCCTAGCAGTCCTAGCAGACTGCTCTGTGTGTGTGTGTGTGTGTGTGTGTGTGTGTGTGTGTGTGTGTGTGTGTGTGTGGCGCTGTGTGTCTGTGTGCGACTGTGTCCCTGTGAGTGATATCCATTCCCCGGAAGATTGAGCTGGAGGAGCAAATGGCAAGGGTCAACTTACCTTGGCCAGTTTACTAAATCAGTCCGCTGGACCCTTAGAGAATGGGCAGGCCTTTCGCGGCTGGGATCCGAGATGGAAATTTTTTTTGGCCCTCACGGCCCTAATGTTGTTTTGGCACACATACCGGTCCATGCAGGAATTGGGTACTGATTTCCCATTGGTGTGCCTCACTGCTGAACTACTACTGGCCTATACCGATTTCGCATGGCCTTGACACCATTTTTCCCTTGTGCCCAGCAGCTCTGTCAATCCGGGTCCGTTTGTTCCATCTTCGCTTGCGGTACAACGGAAATGTGCCGGGACAGTTTCTCTCCACAGCACAACTTCGACATTGTGCACGTTTGGCTACGGTGTTATGTCCATCGGGTATAGTTTGTTCCATCTTCGCTTACAGCACAATGGAAATGTGCCAGAACACTCTCTCCACGGCACAACTTTCGACACTGTGCACGTTTGGATGCGGTGTTATGTCCATCGGGTATAACGCAGTACCAGGCGAGGTCCACTATGTACTTGAAACACACACACATAAGCATGGTTCCTAGAAAGCATGAGTAGGTGGTACTATGCGGTCTGGCTGATGGTATCATGTGGACCCGGTATGGCTGTGGAAAACTATGCAGGGTGGGTCATACCCGTGGAGTGGATGGCACTACGTGGTATGGGAAGTACAAATGCCGGCTAGTTGTGCAATGCTAAGCGGGTTGGTGTGCAATATTGGGTGTTCGGGCTGGGCCGGGTGGTGTTACTATGTGACCTGGTTGATACCACAAAGGCTGGATGGTACCGTGAGGACTGAGTGGTGCCATGTGGGATGCATCACCCTATGTGGACTGCAGGGCGCTAACACACACACGGCCACACAGAAAGAAAAGGAAGGTTGTACTATGTGGACTCAGTGGTATTACATGGAAGGGTGATACCATGTGGGTGGGTTGATACCATGTGGACTGTGTGATACCATGTGGAACGAACACACACACAGCCAACCCCCCCCCCCAAAAAAAAAACACAAACACACGGCCAAAAGAAAAACAAAACACGCGCGGCCAACATTAGGTATAACTCGGCCCTACAGACTACTAGGTGGTACTACGGGCGATGGGTAGTTTTTTTGTGTCATGGGTGATACCATGTGGGTTGGGAGGTACCATGTGGGGTGGGTCGTACCATGTGGACCGGGATGGGAGTACTGTGCTGGCTGGGTGGTATTATGTGGGATGGGTGATACCATGTGGGTGGGATGATACCACCCCGACTGGGTTCTAACATGTGGGGCAGAGCATACTACATGTGGAATGGATGGTACCGACACACTCGGCCACAAACCAAAGCAAGAAACCCACACATTTCAACAGCCATTAGAACTCATTACCTGTCTACTAACAGTCAAAATTCCTACTCCCTGATCCACACGGTGGGTGTCTGAATAGGAAGGACATCAGATTCCTTCGCACTTCGAACATATGACCTGCTTACTAGCAGTCAGGTTTGTACCGCTCGTCAACCCGGTTCAGGTGTGTACCTGTATTTGGGCAGAGGTCTATTCGTTCTATTCGCTCTATTGAAAATTGTGCAGGGGTAGGGAAAATTGGGCACACCAAGATCCAAAAAAAGGATCCTCCCCCAAAAAAGTATGCAGATATGACAAACACAGAAAAAGACCCCTCACATTATATTTGGGGTGTGATCACCGTTCGACCTCGCCACCTCTCAACTAACACTGGAACAAAACCAACATAACTTTTTGGGTCTTATCATAGTCCTCTCTCGCAGCCTCTCGACTAGCACTGAAACGAAACCAATGACCACAGTCGACCTCGCAACATGTCAAATAACACTCGAAAAAAACGAAAGAAAATACATAAATCAAAGCCCCTGCAGTAACAGGTTTGTGGATTCAATACCAATGAGCACAGTTCGACTTCCTGGCCTGCCAAATAACACTCAAACAGAACCAAAGACAACGACAAAACTCTGAGCCCCTGCAATAAGATGTTTGCGGTTTCAAAACCGATGAGCAGAGCTCGACCTCGCCGCCTGTCAAATAACATGCAAACAAAAAAAACAAACAAGACGACAAAAATTGAAGCCCCCAAAGTAACATGTTTGGTGCTCATCCACACGGGAAGATGTGTACTCGCATTCGAACGGCCTATGGCCAGCCCATCACCTTCGGAAAACATCAGGGCCCAGTGGTCCCATCCTACAGGGGCCACCTTTTGCTTCAAGCATTATATAAAAAATGGTCTCACACCCCCACCCATGACACTTCCCCTCACACCCTTCCATTCCTTGACACGGTCCTGCAACCTCCCTCAATACTCTGCTTCTCCCCCCTAATCATGAACCTCTACCCCTCCCCCACCTTCGCTTGTTAAGCACATTGCAACACCTTGCCCTCCCTTCCATCTCCTTACAGGGTCCCACAACCTCCCTCAATACTCACCTTATTCTCCCTAATCATGAATGTCCGCTTGAGACCCCCTTCCTCCCTCCCCAGCCTTCGCTCATAAACACACTGCCCACTCCTGCTGCCCCCTCTTACACTTGAGGTTTCAATCCTATCAGCCCTGAGCTCTCCTCTATTCAGACCTGCAATCTGGATATCAGACCAGTGGCCAGGCCACTACGCTGCATCAGCTGCTCCTACAGAACCCAGTCTGAGGTCCGCTAAACCCACAAACAAAACCTAGGTGGAGAGTTCTAAACGAACAGCACACTTGAGGTCATCACCACCATGTGTGAAAGGATAGAATGACCACTTCCCAAGCACAAAAGCCACGCTCTCCCCAGTCCAGAAACAAACAAACTGGGCAGAAACATGGCGTCCTCAATCCAAGTGCATCCAGTTCTATCAGCCCCCCAGGCTCCATAGTCATAAGGGCTGGTAGTCTGCGGTAGACCATCCAACGGTAATACTCTATTTACCATTAAGAAAATGGAAATACAATGGTTTACAATCCTTGTGGCCACACACTCCACATCCAATGTGGAACGTGTAGTCCTTCACTGTGCTCTGCAAGTTGGGACCCCACTCTAGCATACCCTTGCATGCAAAGAACATTGCACCACCCCTCAACAATGCCAATCCCCCGTTCCCCCCCTCTTCATGATCACAGCATTGTGCGATCCCCCTGGACCCTTCCCCGCTTAATCTCATGCATGCAACGCATCATGCAACCTTACAAACTATTTTCGGCATCGGTTACAGACTTACAGTGCAACCAACAATATACTCAAAGACTGTATAAGTTAATTCTCCCACCAGTTTCAGTGTGACCAGCGGAACACTCAACTCGTGCCACAAGCATCTAGCCTAGTGTGTGCCTGCAAAGCAACAGAATCCGTAGCTGTTATTCTCCCAATTACATCGTGGCTGGAGATCAGAATGCAACCTGTGCAACTGGAAAAGTGAGCACAGTCGCACATTTGCCAGACGACCCCACCACGCGGCTTAAGCCACAAGTACTGCAGAAGCTATTTTGTGGAGCCAAAAACACAATCTACTCTGGGCAGCCCAGCCTGAAATGTCAAGCCTAGTGGGTCGCAGCCACTCTGGTCGACATATGCATTCCGTTTTTCTGCAAATATTTTTTCGTGGCCGAGAACATTGTTTGTTGTTTATTGAACTTTATTCTTTAAAATTTCTTCCCTGATACTACAGAACCTACCCGATATTCCTGTTTATTCCGGAAATTTTATTATTTTTTGTCAAAACAAATGAGAATTACAAATCTCCGAAGTTGGCGTACTTAAACCACTAGTACCTCTGCCAGTGTTGGGAAATTACGTCAAAAGACTCAAAACGCCCACTCCCGAAGAATTTGTGGGTGGGACCCAGGGTTGGCTAGTCCCATAAATCGTAGTTTCAGGCAGGGTAGTCTAGGTGGCTTTTTTTTCTCTCGGCTTTCTTATAGTCCCCTGCCAACGAGGCAGGACGGAATCCGAGATCTGCTCAAGCTGTGTTTCCTCAGAGGATTGTAACCCTGATCGCACTGGCCCTTGTATCCAACCATTTTCACGGCTGAATCCGTGTTTCCGTTTTTTTTTCCTTTTGTCTTTCTGGAATCTGACAACCTGGCCATGTGGCTGGGATGCCCTGACTGAGGGCACACTCACGCCACCACTTCCAAGAATGTATACAACTCCACTTCCAAGAATGTATACAACTGCAATCACGGCCAAAGCTTTGTTTCCTTGTTTTTGATTTTTTTGTTTTGTGAGTTTAACGGCCGCAACTTTTCTTCTTTTTTTTTTCCTTTTGTTCTTTCCGTGAAAGTACCAGAAAGAAAATGGGGTGGGACCCAGGCTCGGCAAATCGGAGCGCAGTGAAATTCAGGCTCAGCAAAAACAGGGTCGGAGGTACTAATGGTTTAAGAATTCTCTGCCCCCCTCCCCCGTCCTTTGGGACATCTGTTTCAAATTGGAAGGATACAGAGAAGATTAGCATGGCCCCTGTGCAAGGATGACACGCATAAATCGAGAAATGGTCCAAATTATAAATAAAAAGAAGGAAAAGAATTCTCTGCTCCTCTCCCCCACCCCCACAAGAGCCTGATCAAGAATAGCAACTCCTGCTTCATTAACGAAGTGTAAGATTATGGGGAACCATCAGAGACAATATACCTCTTCTCCAGGCTTCTTCACATCCGAGTCGTTCAAGCACAATTCCAGCTGCACAAAGATATTCCGCTTTTTGCTCAGAGTGACGGCCTGTGGATAGACATAAAGCATATGCACCAGCCTGGATCGAGGGTCACTTTTTGAGAGCGCCCTGAAGTCCATTGCGCAAACCTGGAGAACACGAAGGGCACATCCCAATTTGAAGGCATTACATTTGTTCAGAGCCATGGAACTGTGAGTGAGAGTGCAACACTCAAAAACCAATATCAATCCTCTTCTCTGCTGCGCGCAAGGCCTCAAACATCAGCATAGCCCCGATAGTTGATCACCTTCTCAACATCATCTACCATCTGGCACTCGATGGTTCACATCGTGAATGACACCCCTCAATGGTTCACATCGCGAATGACACCCCTTCCAAGCAAAACAAATATTATCTTCCTCATCAATGTGTCATCTTCGCAATCGTGTTGCAGTATCCTCATCATTCATCCCCTTCCTGGCCTATCCTCAATGCCTGCGTCATGCTCAGTGGCTGATAGTCAAATACATACGACTGGCTGATGGTATGGTCTTCCCTTATCCTCCACATCATCAACCATGCCCCCTCCCAAGCAAAACAAATATTATCTTCCTCATCAATGTGTCCTCTTCGCAATCGTGTTGCAGTATCCTCATCATTCATCCTCTTCCTGACCTATGCCCAATGACTGCATCATGCTCAGTGGCTGATAGTCAAATACATACGACTGGCTGATGGTATGGTCTTCCCTTATCCTCGACATCATCAACCATGCCCATGTTGGCCTTCCTGTACTGGCAAAAACCTCAGCAGCGGTCATATGGACAGACAAGACTAGCCAAAAATTAGGCGCAAGCATACTTGCAACTGCACGAGCCACACATTTCTGTGGAGTTCAGTGCGGGGGGTGCCTGTGCGGAATCATGCAGGTTTTTTATTTTTGTTATTATTATTTTATCTTTTTCTGGGAGCGGGAACAGGGGGGCGTATGATAGGAAGATGGGGATATGGCGAGGAGAGGGGGATATGTAGAGGAGGAGGATGTGGATGAGGAGGACGACAAGGATAGCGAGGACGACGAGGAGTCGTCGAGATGGGGGGAGGAGAAGAGATGGACGGAGGGAAAAGAGGAAGGGCAGGAGGAGGACGAGTGTGCGGAGGAGGAGACATGGACGAGGAAGGGAACGAGACGAGGAGGCATGGATAATGAGGAAGTACGAGGAGGAGGAGACAAGGAGGATGAGGGAGGGCAGGAGGAGGAGGACGAACAGGAGGAGATGAAAAGGAGAAGGGAGGAGGAGACATGGAGGATGAGGGAGGGGAGGAGCAAGGTGAGGCAGTACTCCTGTCAAATTTTTTTTCATCTCGCTTATAATTTTGGCGGGGGGCCTCAAATGCACCATTTAGACCCCGGCCTTTTTTTTCCTGAGGGGTGTGACGGTTCGTTCCCCGCACACGTCGTGCGCCGCATGAGATCGGTTGGGCGCGTGCGCCGCACATAGGGAACCGCCCGCACGACATGCGCTTGAAAGTACGGGCGCAAGTCATTACCTAGTCACCCTCTTGATTGAGCAGAATTAATCAATTTAGGCAGAACGATCCCTAAGAAGTAGGTAGAAAATGAAAATCCACTTAAAAGACCTCTGGATTGACAAAGACCTGCCAGTTTCCTTACTTATTCCTACCCAAGTTGTTAAGAACATTTTTACTTGTTCCTACCCAAGTTGTTAAGAACATTTTTACTTGTTCCTACCCAGGTTGTTAAGAACATTCTTCGCCGAAAGTCCAGGAACATTGCTGGCATTTTGGAATTGTTCAAACACACAGCCTGAATAACAAAAACCGACCCCCAGAAGAACAACCCCGATCTAAGCACCCACAAGTCGAGCCAAACAAACAGCTAGACAAGAAGCACACCATAGTTAGCCCAGACGTACCACATTGTTTTCTCCAAAGAATGTATCGTAGGCTGGACTACTATAATCCACCAATGCCGGACTGCCCTGCGTCCGTAAGCTCTCGTGATAAGATGTATTCCCCATAACTGAATCAGCCGGTCCATTTAAAAAAGGAGTACTGCCACCACAATGAATGGGACCAGAAACACTCGTTCCGCCGACAGCTGAGCTTGAGTGGTGATGACCACTTCCTGACAAGGGTGCACTGGTTGGCAGTCCATCCCTGTTCAGTGGGCCACTGTGCTGCTGAGCGAGCGAGCCGTTCATACCCTGGTTCAACGGGCCACTGAACTGCTCCCTCAGCGACCCACTCAGCCCCCCACTGCTCCCAATCAATCCACTCAAACTCCCAGAATGGGAATGGTCGGACAACCGTCCAGAGAATGCATCCCTGCCGATGTCCTCTGAAAACGAGTTCCTCCGTGGTGTGCTGGTTCCACTAAAGCTCGGCATCTGAGTAAGCGTTCCACTGAAGCTGGGCATCTGAGTAAGGGCTGGGCCTGAAAACAGGACCTTGAAATCGTCATCATAGCGAAGGCTTACACCTTCCTGGGGAAGTCGTTCCACCTCGAATTTCATCGATGCCCTCACAGGCTTGTGAGCTTTCCGTTTTGGGTCCTGGCATCCCCGACCCAGAAGAGCACATGCCAGGAAGCCGACAAGCCAAGCACCACCAACACAATCCCAATGATCCAAGACTACAAGCATCACATCCCCAAACACAAGATTGGTAACACAAATGAGGCAGGTAGCGAATTGCAAGTCGGAAAAGATACAACTAGTACGACTAGGAGAAACAGACATGCCGATGAGATCAGCAAGCACGAGACCGATAGAATGTGATGGAAGTCCCAAGGAGCGTACGCCACGGACATAGAAGCAAGCAAACACAGACGTGAGGCAAGCAAAAACAAACATCCCGAGGGTCAGTACTTCAGCAGATACATGAAACACAGAAAAGATAAAGCAATCTAAATCATTCAATAATGTCGGCAACCACTTCGTCTGTGCATATCCTGAACGCCTTGCCAAGCCACACACTAGACAAACAAAACCGAACATGCACACATGTTCTTCTCACCTCCACAGGACTCTACCTAACCTGGCAAGAAATCCAGGGGAGCAGTAGGACTTTCAACTGAATCTGACCACAATGATAGTAAATAAAGTCCAGTCAGGGTGAAGATACCCTTAGATATATGCTGTACAATGCAATCCTCATTACTTTCCCATCTTTTTTCATCACAGGTGCAACCATGGGAGTACTCACACATCTTTTACATGCAGATGCATCCTTTCCCACAAGTTTTTCCACCCATCCTGCCACAATGGTTTGGGAAGCAACGAAAAAGGGGAAAAAAAAACACCCTCAGAACGCCATCTTTCCTTCCCCTTCCTACGCTGCCCGTCAGCCTTCGATGCACAGAAGTGCGAGTGGTCGTGTGTGTATGTGAAAACTCGTTACCGGCTCATTCGGAGATTTCCTAAGTCTTAATGCTAGAGAAATGAGAGCATGTTTGCCTTTAAACAGTTTCTTTCACGGTTCGAGTCACAACAGTGTAGAAAAGCACCCCTCAGCAGGTGACTTCCATTCCTCTCTATATTGCCCGCCACTGTTCAATGCACAAAAGTGTTAGCACGTGGGAACTTTTTACCCTCTAATTCACCAGTTTCCAAGGTCTGAAAGCCAGAGCAAAATGCATGTTGGCCTTTCCACAGTCTTTTCACGATCTAAACACCAAAACCAATACGACTGGAAAGTGGGGTGAAATCCCCAAAACAAGAAAAAAAACAAAAAGAAAAGTAGAAGAAACTGAGGGAGAAAGGAAAAAATACGCTTACTATGTAGTACTCAATGCTCAACAGTTTCATTGATCCCACTCAACACTAGCCAATTCATCTCAAATTCCAACCAACTGCAAACTTTCTACGACAAATACTGTAATGTAAGGCAGCCAACTTCCATATCAGACAACAAAAGCCCATCAAAATCTTGTTCAAGTTCGCTGAGCCTTGAGACCATTATCATTTCGGCATGACAGCACACATACCAACGCAGACTGCACCTTTGCGAGCGAATATTCAAAGTCGCGATGCATTATCATTTCGGCATGACAGCACACATACCAAAGCAGACTGCACCTTTGCCAACGGAAATTCAAAGTCACGATGCTAAACGCAGCATGCACAGCATGACTATTCCCAGGATTGACGCTCCCGTACATAATTTACTGAGAAACGGTGCCGAACTCAGTCTGTTAGCATGTTTAAGGGTCTTGGCAAGCTTGACAACAACCTGCAAAGACGACATTTCTTGCCTTCGTTTTGTTTTTTTTTCCCCCTTGCCTTCCAACCAAGAAAATATATCATTTTGTAAAATCTTATCACCTCGCAGACACTAACTTCAACCTTGCACCTAAAATGGTAAAAAATACGACAATAGAAACTTAGAAAGTTCTCTAGTAGCTCAGAAAATTCCAAAGCCCCAGCTCCTCTTGGCACTTTTTGTGCATCACACGGTCCAGCTCGTGCAGAAAACACAACACAAAGCAGTGGTGAGAGAGAGAGATAGAGAGGCAGAAAGCGGAAGACAACAGCAGGGTGGCGAGTTGACAGAGAGAGAGAGAGACAGCGACGAAGAGAGACAGAGACAGCAAAAGAGAAAGCTCCATAACCCATCAGATTCGATCACCTAAATGACAGCCACCTTGACTTCGCTCTCCCGGTAATAATCATCACAGTTGCCTTCTCCTCCCTCTGCATATTGAGTGTCATTTCATACTTTTTTACTCCCCTCCTCCTCTAGACCTTCCTTCCCTCTCAACATCACACAAACAGTCTATATTGTGGCGCTGATCCTTCACAACCACCATACATCACCGAAGAAACCCCAAACATCCCCCAACCCAGACCTAATGCAACAACCAGATCACAGGCTGCAGTGCCCCCTGCCAGGCACCCCTTAAAATGGCAAAACACATCCCAGATTACCACTCCAAGATACAACAAATTGCAGTTAAGAGAGCACACATCTACGGGCAATGCTGCAAGATTAAAAACTTCCTCGGGAAGTTTTTGAAATCAACTCCTCAACCCCTTGGCATACCCGTTAGCATAACCGTCAGCATGGTTGGACGTTTTACAACAACAAACCATAAAATTCCAGATGGCATATGTATTTTCCCACCAAAGACTGACCAGGGACCCCGGTGTTGAAGGGATTGAACAGGGTTTAAGGCCTTTCCCCATGTATAATCTACAACAGGGACTGCATAGGGTTTTATGGGCCGCAATCCACTGTTGCAACATTTTTGCTAAGAACACAGGAACCTGGCCCCTTCTCAGACCACGATCATAATTTCTAAGTGTGAGACGTTGTGGGAGCGTCACCCTAATTCTATCCACGCATCATCATCTGTAACTGGAGTGCATTACCCAGCCACCAAACAGACGGAAGATGATAGGTTTCCGAAACAATGTGAGGCACGGTGTCAAGATTACTCACATGAAGAGTCTCCTCGGTATAGCACTCCTTGATCCGGTTGAGCACGGGGACATCCACTGTAACGGCTTGCCCTGGACTACTATCGAAGCGTCCATCACCCATGGAGAAGCTATCCCCAACTGTGTGCAGCGGGCTATCCATCGGGCTGTTGAGGACACCAAAACCACCAAGGCCTAATGTATAACTGGGATCAAAGAGTGGAATCGTCGTATATGCTAATGCTTCTTTCCAAGGCATCATATTTGCCCAAACTCGTACCCTATTAATCTCTGCATCAGTCAAAGCGCTCTGGGAGACGACAAACCAGGAGAGGAACATAACCACACAACAGCAACTCTTTGGTTACTTGCAGACTTTCGACACCAGTTGTCAGCCAACATTCACAAGACCACAGATCTTCCGCACTCATGCAGGCTCCTGAGCCAGCGCTCAATAATTTCATCAGAAACACAGACTCTCTAGAAAACTCTAAGCTGTAAGGCCAACACATGAGGACGACTACAATGGACAGCCACATCAGGTAAGAGGTGCTCCTTTTTATCTTTTCCTTCTCTCCTCACCCGTGTCTTGCAGGTAACAGATGTTCGGCGCTTCTGCAAGTTTCTGAAAAGTGCTTGAAGATTTCATCAGCACCACACTCTAGAATACTGAAGAGATTTGTCCGTCGGGACATCCTTTTAAAATTGGAACAGTACAGAGAAGATTAGCATGGCCCCTGTGCAAGGATGCAACACAAATCGAGAAATGGTCCATGATACTTGTTTGAAAAAAAAGGTAAAAACAAAAACTGAAAAGACGACATGTGAGACGGAAAGTGTATAGTACCTATATCAAGTGAGTTGAAAGCCATGCTGTTTTCCTTTCTTTGCTTCTGGAATCTTTCTTGTTTTTCTTGTGCTCCTTGAGAGTGGGTGAATCCTCAATCACCCACATTTAGGCGACCATCCAGGGTGGTGAATTGGGCCAGCTGTGTCAAGAGTACAAGAGGTATGTTCGGTCCAGACTCCCCAGACTGGATCTCAAGAATCATACCATCATCAGCCTTCCAGGGATAAGGAGAATGCAAATTCAGGTCTCTCAAAGTCTTGTGTTCGAGGAGATGACATTTTTACAGGCGGGACCTTGACAATCATACCAGTCGAATCACCTATGATGATTTGAGTGACATGGAGCATGGTGGAGCACAGGCTCTAAATACTAATGAGCTGGACAAATTCACAAACAATAGCCCACATGCAAGGACTAGAAGATTGAAATGCCCAGTTACTTCAAACATTGCAATTAGCCAGGCACACATGCCTACAAATGACGTTATACTTGAGACGTCAAGCTTCACTGAATCCCACAAGGTTAGACAAGTGGATCAAATTACAGGGAAGGAAGCCAACCCAAATGGGAATGGTGTGCCTGCTGTTGGGAAATATGTCCCAACCAGTCTAGCGGCTAATCCACAAAGTCCTAATGAACCCAGCACTGCAGCTCAGAAGGCTAGATGACCCACGCCACATTCGCATGCTGAATGTTCACGTTCAATGCCAACTCTTCTCGGCCGTCCTTGACAAAAAAAAGAAAAGGGCATCTCAATGCCAAAGTTTGAAACACGTACCGGCTCCTTCCTTGAATAAACTTGGGCCTTCACACCACCATCTTCAGTTGCCGCCCTCTCCAGCTGAACAAGAAGGAAGACTTGAGGAGAAGGATTGTCCAAGGAGAAAATCACCCGACGCTGCTGAGGTGAATTGGCCTGCCACAATGCACACCATTATATCACATATGAGGCATGATTTGGCTACTTCTTTCCATCACACAAATCACATCATATGATGGTTTACACAGCGACAGAACCAAAAGTTCACAACATGTGTTACCATGAAAAGGAGGGGCAGCAGTTTACTGAGGAGCTTCTGCAGCACAAGCAAAGGAAAAAGTTGGGCGTACAGCACAGGAAACACATGGGCGACAGCAAAGCAGTGGAAACATGTAGCTCACTTCTCAACACACCCATGAGAAAATAAAGGCCCTGAGCATTGAGAAACAATGACAGAAGAGTGATTGTTATGTCTGAGGGAGGGCCAGAAGATGCAATGACCAGCACTTGGGAAATGAGTCTCCAGGTAGCACTGGAATATACACGACAGAAGAAAAATGAGAAGGGACTTACTGCATGCCGAGATTTATGCAGCAGAGAAGCAGAATCACAACGGATAAACCACCAGCCCCTCCAAGCTTATTTTATCGAACCTGATTTTGGCCCAGCTTTCGACAGCAAACTGTCATGTCGCCCAGCATACTATGGCCTGCACGGTTCAGTGCTCAGGTAGACTGAAGCTCCAGCAACCACTTGTTAATGTCTGCATTTCTCAGGGAGGCCCTCCGTGGGTGGTAGTTTATGGGGGCCGAAGGGGTGAAACTGGATGAGACGTCAGACACAGCTTAAAAATCCACTGAGTGGAAAACATGAGTCGATGACAAGCTGTGTTATCTTGGCGTACAGATGACAGAAGCACGCCTCGAGCAAGCACAAGCCCCGGAGATCCTCACGAAGTTGCTCAATAAAATGGACATGTGGTCTGGTGCAAAGAAAATGAGCAATAGCAAAATGACAGAGTTTCCAGAATGCAAAATCACATTGAAAGCCAGGAAGTCCAACGCTGTCCAGAAAGCAGAAGTGCACTGATATTCCACAAACGGAGAACCAAAGTACTGAATCCGAATGTCAATGAGAGCATACTCTCGCCAACACCAACATATGTATCCAGAGCCCTTCCTCCTACTCAGCGCTCAGTGCCCAGACTACTACTAAACAGCTACTAGCAGCCTAAGAATTGACAATGCATCCCGTTGACGTCAGCAGCCACAACCAAAGTGCATCAAGATGTCGCCCTTGTAGACCATCACTAAGACCAGGTACATGCCCTCACATCATCATCCTCATCTCTCTCTCTCCCCCTCGTCTTCTCTACCCACATCTTCCCTCTCATGCACGAAGGCCACCACCACCCGCTGGCCAAGTCCAAGCACCAGCCTGGCTATGTAGTCTGGGCTATGGCGCTGCACCCAGCAGCGCCCTGTGCCTTGCACGTCTGCACACGCTCTTCCGCACTGGTGCTAGCAGCAGCGCTGCCGTCTTCTCTACCAAGTGCCCGACCACTCGCCCTGAGCCCTGCCCTTTCCTATATGGACAGAAGCGGGCGCTTGCCTCTCTTCGCCACGTGAGACCGAGTTTACAGTAGCTTCAGTCTCAGCCAAAGTGTCTCCGCCCAGGCCAGTTCAGACAGTGGCCAGGACCGAATTCGTTAGGCATGCCCAACCACCCAGGCACAAACGTGCGATGCTCCCTGCTTCGACCACGTTGCTGGAAGAGCCTGGAAGGCTCACAAATATTTTGGATTCTCACGAGCAAGGCGGATGTAACCAACTGGCACATGGCAACTGTCTGGCGCCGACCAAGATTTGCAAGAATTGACGAGTTCAGGGCGCATTGAGATTTAGGGGGGGCGCCTTCACTTATGGCGGGCACGCGCCTGCTGCACGGCCCTATGCCGAGGCATAAGCCCTCGCACTCCCTCCTCCGAGGCATAAGCCCTCGCGCTCCCTCTTCCGAGGCATAAGCCCTCGCGCTCCCTCCTCCGAGGCATAAGCCCTCACACTCCCTCCTCCGAGGCATAAGCCCTCGTGCTCCCTCCTCCGAGGCATAAGCCCTCGCGCTCCCTCCTCCGAGGCATAAGCCCTCGTGCTCCCTACTACTTAACTTTGATAGTCCTCTGAGATGTCGTGACACAGCAGGCTGCTTCCCTTTCAAATTCCGTTCATAACTTGTGATAACTTGGGGAGCAGTCTTCATCAATTCCTCTCTGGTGAACCATCCATCTTCTTTAGAATCCATATGACGTCTGAAACGTACTCGATACTGCGTCTGCGGTTTCGGAGGGCATCCCCTGCCTGGAGGCTTGGGTACAGGCATCAGCTTGTGGTCGACGATGTCGTCAATGCCGATGTGTTCGTCCATGGTTGGGGGCAGCATCGATCTTTTGAGGGAAATTGTTCTGTTTCGGCGAAAGGTGCTAACTTGGAGGCATGAAAAACAGCGCGTGTGCGGAGGTGACCAGGGATGCGAATGACATATGAAGGACCATCTGGTTGATCTCCCACTATATCAAGGATTTCCCACGGTCCAAAGTACAGTGGCATTAGTTTACGTGAGATTCTCAACTCATGTCCCAACTCAGATGACTTTACCCAGACTTGTTCACCTACCTGAAATGCAGACCCTCGTCTGTGTTTGTTCTTAGGTGCAACAATAGCATCTTGAGCTTTCTTGATGTGCTCTACAGCCTGCTGCAGCATCTGTTCGTACTTGACAGCAAACTCTATGCTACCAGGTGCTGCGGTTGGCTGGTTTTCAAGCAACAGGAAGTCAAGAGCAGATCTGGGCTTCCAACCAAGATGCAGCTGGTTGGGGGTCTTACGGGTAGTGCTGTGCACAGCATTGTTATACAGGCTGGCGATGAGAGGTAACTTCTCATCCCAATCATCTTGACTTGGCTTGATACAATGCTGAAGCAAGTGCTGCACTATCCGGTTCATCTGTTCGGCCTGTCTGTTTGACTCAGGGTGGTTCCCTGATGTCATTTGCAGTTGGGAGCCCATCTGTTGGGCTGTACTTTGCCACAGTTCGCTAGTGAATCTGACATCCCTGTCGCTCACAGTAGACTTAGGAAGAGCAAAGTCACGTACCCAGTTGTCCATAAATAGCTTGATGGTCCTAGCTGTCTCAGGCATAGCGATTAGTGTAGCATACTTTGTGAACCTGTCCACAATGATGAAGATGTGTCGTTTACCGCTTTTGCTAGTCACAAGGGTATCCATGAAATCCATGGACACACTTTGACCAGGGCCAGCAGGGATGGGCAAGGGCTTGATAAACCCAAGCGGTGCCTGCGTCCGTGGCTTGTCACGCTGGCAAACCTGGCAATTTTCTACATACTTCTTTGCATCATCCATCATTGAGGTCCACCACAGTCGCTGCAATAACTTTGCTGCAGTCTTTTTATAGCCGAAAGGTCTTGTCGCATCGTGGCACTCACCTGAAAATAAACTACTCAAAAATTCTTTATTTGGAACACACAATCATTTATTCCCAGCCTTCACAAGGAACATCAAGCCGTCAACCAGCACAAACTCGTCGGAAGTTGCCTTATCTTTAGCGTCCAGTTTGTGAATGATCTCATACATGACTACGTCCTCTTGATAGGCTTACACCATAGACCGAGTTACATCGTCGGAAATTCCAAACTTTGTCACTAGCGCGCCCAGATAATCCACCCTACATGATAGTGCATCAGCCACTTTATTGTACTCTCCCTTCAAAGGGTTGAGCTTGAAGTCATACATAGCTATGACTTCAATCCACCTCTTTAAAGCGTTCGAGAGCATTGGCTGTGTCTTAATCCAGCGCAGTGTCTCATGGTTATATCTTACATAAAAGAATCTGCCTAGGAGGTAGTGCCTCCAATGGACCAGCGCTCTATAGAGGGCATAGAGCTCTGCTCATACGTGGACTTTTCGCTCATGTACTCGATCGGCCTCAACTTTTTCTTCTCCTTTTGCGCAAGGATCGCGCCTATGCCATATTGGCTGGCGTTCGTGGTCACAACAAAGGGTCGTTCAGGATCCGGAAGTTTGAGGACTTCATAGTGCGTCAGGGCATACTTCAATTTCTTGAAGGATGCCTCACATTCTTCATTCCACGCAAGGCGCGTGAGGCAGTTAGACGGGAGGCTATCGTGCTGTATTTTTTCATAAATGGGCGGTAGTAGCCTTTCATCCCTAAGAATGACCTCACCTCAGTCACATACTGAGGTCTGGGCCAATCACGTATGTTGGCCACTTTGGCATCATCCACCCTCAATCCATCTGTGGACATTGCATGACCCAACTACAAGATCTTGGCAGGACCTAATTCACATTTCTCCAAGTTAACCTTGTAATGATGCTGTCTTAGGAGCCCTAGCACTATTTTCATGTGCTCAACGTGCTCCTCTACGAACCTACTAGACATAAGTATATCGTCAAGGAACACGGCGATAAACTTGTTTCAATAATCATGAAAAGATCCGGTTCATTGTGTGCTGGAACGTGTCACAAGCATTACATAGGCCAAAGGGCACACCACAAACTCATACAGGCCGTACCTGGTCTGAAAGGCGGTTTTGTGTTGGTCCTCAGGTTTAAAAGCAATCTGATGGTATCCGGACTTCAAATCTATCTTAGTGAAATACCAGCATCCCTGCACTCTATCCAAGAGGTCGTCAATGTGCAGTAGGGGCTCCACGTTCTTAACGGTGATGGAATTGAGCCCCCTATAGTCAATGCACATCCTTAGGTTCCCCCCTTTCTTTGGGACAAATAAAACTAGCACTCCGTAGGGGGGCATACTTGGCTGTATCCAGCCCTTCTCTGTGAGCTCCTTGAGTTAGCGGCGAAGCTCTAACTCCGCAGGAGACATCCCATAGATTCGCCGTCTAGGTACTTCGCTACCAGAGACAACTTCTATCGCGTGGGCAATCTCCCTTCCCACCACACCCCTAGGCTCCTCAAAGAGGTCTAAATACTGCACAACGACCACTTCTACCTCTGGGGCTCATTTTACGGCCTCCCCTTTCTCAAAGGCAAAGACTAAGTACACACCTTCCTCGCGATTCTACTTGTAGCAGTTATAGAAAGACAACGTGCACATGCAAC